GCCATACTCCGCAGTGTTGACAAAATTAGTGGAATAAAGTACAAAACAAACTGAAGCTTCGGATCGATAAATATTACTAAAAGAGCACTTTTTTCTCTTCTTTCTGGCCGAGGCCAGCCGCCAGGATCACCAGGATCAACAGGATGCCCGAGAGCCCGGTAGCCGGTAGTGCCGGTACCGGTACCCGACCGTCCCGAGGGCCGAGAGCGAGAGTCCCGCCAGTCTAGGGACCTCTGGCTTTTCTGCTTTCTGGCGACATATGTAATTTTGCTGTGACCCAGTACTCCAGACTCCAGTGACTTACCAGTCCGGTCGCATCGAATACGTGTAAGCGGACCAAGCGTGATTAGCGTGAAGCGCAAAATCCGAACAATACGTGGGAAAAGGAAGAGATATCTAGGAATCGTATGTATCACGTATCACGTATTTGTTTCTCTTCAGTAAAGAAAAGTATGAGGAAGAAAGGAAAAAGACAAAAAAAAAAAAACTCCAAAATTGTCTTTCCGTTTAGCTTGATTTTCCCATTAAAACGTTGTTAGTCTAGAGTTCACTTGGTCTATTTATAACTTGTTATGTATTTGATTGATAGAAAATTGTAAAATGCAGCAAATTCTTTACCTGTATTAATCTGAATTTGTGCATACTAAAGGCTACTCTACACATGACATTAGGTTAATTTTATTTAATCCAAATAGTTTCAAATAGTTCTTAGCTATTACATATGAAATGTTCATTATTAATATTATCACACTGATAACAAAATATATATTATGTATTTTATATACATCGCTCATTTGCTGCAGCAATAACATAACTCAAAAATTGTACTTTTTCAGGAGACACATTTAAAGTTTTGAATTGTTATAACTTTCTACGAGTATTTTAAAATACCGAATTGGCAAGTCACTCTTTTTGCAACTTTTAAAATGATGAGACTGACAATGAGATAAGTATTGCAACCTACATAATTAATTAAATGATATGGCACAATAGCGAGACACAACTGTTCCCTAGAGGTGAGTTCGTGAAGATTAAGCATTGTCGATTCAACTGTAAATATAATACATATGTAACAACCTTTTTCCCTGTACGAATAACTCAAAAAAGATGATTTTTTAATTATGTCATTGTTGCAGCAAATGAGCGATATAATATTGGGTCAAAATGCTTAATATGTTATTCTTTTATATTTGGTATCTTCATAGAAATCTAGCAAGTCTCGGAATGCACCATTATAGAATAGTACAAGCAATAAAATTTCCAACAAAATAAAAACACATTTTTTTATATCTATGTATATATTTATTATATGTATGTATTTATTATGATTACATACTATTAGAAATAAGATTTTCATGGAACGCTCTAATCTATTTTATTTTTCACTATATAATATTTTTTGCTTGATTTTTTTTGATATATTTAGTAAACATTTTCTCTAAAAAAAATAAATATCTTTATAATATTATTGACCTTATAAGTGATTTGTAACAAAATGATTATTCATATTTAATATTCAAGTAAAAGGAGTAAATATATAAAAATAAAAGGAATGTAAAATTAATATCACGTCTTCTTAAGATCCTTTTATAAAAATTTTAATTTATTATATCTACCGGGTGTATATACAGAGTAAAAATTGTATAAAAGTTCCAACTTGTTGCCTAAGTATTTTTGTAAGCGTATTAATAATTTTCACACTGTCACTCTCTTGTCGATGTGTGTATAAATAACATTATATACATTTATATACTCGCATTATAACATTATATACTCCCTTATATATAAAGAAGTAATAAAAACACATAAAAAAAATAATTTTACATAAATAATGTATGCAATTTTATATGACTGCACGTTATGTAAATTATTGTTAATTATAAAGTTAAAGAGTATGATAAATGTAAGAATGTTAGATATTTGGCACATGTCTGTCACATGAAAATGGTAAGAAACATGATTCATTCAAGAATTATTTATTCTTAGGCAAATTTAATACAGCTAAATTAATAAAAGGAAAATTTTTTAAATTATGAATCATGTCTCTTATATGACTTTTATACAATAAAGAAATGTATTAAAATAATATTTCTTAGTATAAATTAATGTTACAAGTGAGAAACATGTGAATCTTAGAAAAAGCTAAATATTTTCTAAAAGACCTAAGCTACATGTAAATATAAGTCAATATTTCCTAAGATCAGTTTCGCATATCGATCAACTTCCTTCGACATTATTTTAGATTCGTCATGATACGTTTCCTCGAGCATTAAATCCATAACTGTGGAACAAGCAATTACCACCTCGCACCAAACTCGTTTATAAGTTACAAATTCTGTATCAATTATTGTATGAAATTTCTTACAAACGTCCTCTAAAAACTCTACTCGTCGTTTATGTAGTTTCAGCTGAACATCTCTGCCTTGTTCAAAACCTGCTAAATACTTATACGCTGCGGAAACATCAAGCATTATTTTTGCATAATTTTCAATGTCAGTATCGGCAGTAAAATATTCCTTTGCTGCATCAAGATGGTTCAAAATTTTTGTAAAAACAGATTTGGCATCAGCGAGATTTAATACACGTGTATGTGTGATCTGATTAGTTATACATTCTGTTTCTTTTTCTACGTCAGAAAATATTAGCAAGCTCGAGTCCTCCCAAGATTTGATTCCTAATTTTGAATTGTCTACATCACAGTTTTTATCTTTACTCTGTAAAAATCGTTCCCTCCAAAAACGTAAAAGTAAAACTCCATAGGTGCCCCAAGATCTAGCGCTAACACCACAAACGTAATCATAACTATCAGACAGATAGAGAAATCGCAATCTTGATACTTCATTTTGTTGATTTATCGTTTTCAAGGTCTCTTCAGAAAATCTCTGTATCACATAATCTGCAGTAGCAAGATGATTTCTAGCTTCAGCGAAACGATTGTTCAATAGAAAGTATCTTGATATATCAAATAAAGTAGAAACCCAATTGAAACAGTCTTCTCGAAACTGCCTTCCTTCGGATATCGTTTCTGACAGGTGCTTCTTTAATAAGTTATACATGTATGTTATAAATCCATCATGCTTATTTTCCGGTTGTATCAAATATTGATTTGCTATATCGCATAAACTTTTAAAATGTAGCTCTTCCAAGATAATCCTAGGACTAGATTCTTTTTCTTTAATACCAACAATAATTGGTATATGGATAGGATCAAGATAATTATCCTCTTTCGTGTACTCTAAATACAGTTCCATTGGTGATTTCGATGTGTGAAAAATATAATTATTTTTCTCTAATTTGACAAAAATTGAATTTATTTCGTTAAGAGCACCTATAGACGTCAGTATAGCTTTACGATCTAACTCTTTATTTCGTAACAGATGTAAACATGTTTCAAAAAATTTTAAAGCAATATGTAATTCGTAATCTTCCTTAGAATTAACATATACTAGACCCCAGTTATAAAAAGCTACCGCTAAAACTACAACGTCATCAAATTTTGCATCCGCTTGAATATCGATATTATGAAGCAATATATCCATCCTGATCTGTAGCTCATTAATCATTTTGTTTTTCTCTTTAGAAGGTTCACCGATTTTACTTAGTTCTTTCGCGTCAAACGACAATTGTACAATTTCCAAAAATTCCTCACTAATATCCATACTTTCAGCGCTTTCGGACGGTTTTGCTTCTGTAAAGATAGTGAAGGTTTCCATTAAAAGATTATTACATGGATGTATTATTACGATCTGTTTTAAATGATTTATTTATATGACTTACCAAATCGGAGGAACTCGCGTCTTCTTTCCATCGTTTGTCTGAGAAACGCCAACATTGTTGCTCAATATTGATAAAAAGACAATTCCTGGGATAAATTTCTAAAAACGTGTTCTGACTCGCAAGTTATGGAATGTTCTTGATGTTCTAGATTGGGGATTACCGGATACACGTGCTACGTACAAAAATAGTGGGAGTTTACATCTCCGACATCCAATGGAAAAGTTTATTTTATAGGGATCAGAATATTGTCTAGGGTCCCTAGAAATAACTCCTATAGCCCAGGATACCGAATAGTGTACCGAAAATTGGACGCAAGTAAATTTTCCAAAAAAGGGCATAAGATTCCATCCAATGACTGAAAATGTCAAATTTATTTCTTTATTTGTGTTTTATATGTGTATATAATATATGTACTAATATATATAATATCGTTATTTACTTTTCGAACGTTTTTTCCTAAAAAAGAAGGATACAAAATTAAGATACCTTGTCCTCGGATACAGTAGCTGTCAATCATTATAAGAACTGTCCACAAATGCTGAAATACTCGTTCTTGCAATATCATATGGAATAAACATCTTCCTTGTCATACTGTTTATCAACTGATTAATAATACTCAACGAATATCTAACATCAAAATTACTACAATTTAGAACAATTACGAATTGCTAAAATTCTTCTATAGTACAGAGCTCTATTCTATAATCTAAATTTTAAAAATTTTTCAATAAAAACACTACAAAGAAAATAACTTGAGAGAAGTAAATTTTAGGATTGGAATTATAAAACATCTTACTTAATATGACTTCACATTTATATGTATTAACAAATTATTGTCACGCTATTAAAATTAATTCTTAAGTCTGAATTACCTTACTATGAAATTAATTCATAATTAGTCGATCATGTATACATTATGCATAAATTTCTACGTACACGATAAACACTTTCCATTTATCGTAATGGATCATAAGCTTGAAATAATTAAATTGCGATTAATAGGTGTATCGCTTAATTTATAATTAATTATTTAAAATTTCTCTTGTATTGATAAGAAAATTGGCATTGCAAAAAATACCAGTTTAATTAGAGGCCACATATTTCTCATTCATCAATAATACTTGATATATTATTTATTGTAAGATAAGCTTCAATTTTCAGTCGATAGAGGAAATCTCAGAAGGAACAAGATAGAGATAGAATATATGTAAAATACAAAGTAAGCAGATGAGACTTTCTACCGAGCAGTCAGAAAATTTAAAAAAATTCTGTTGATGTATCTCAAATCCATTATATTAATATTCGGCCGATTGTTTGCTTGCTCTTAAGAAAACTTTAATTATACATTCTGTTTTGCATATACGTTCAATCTCTGTATCTTGGTTGTTGCTATTAAAATTGATATTATAATGTTCATAATTTTTGTACACACGCACACACACATATATATATGTATATATGTGTGTGTATATATGTATATACATATATATATATATATATGTCTTATCATATGAAAATATTAAGGAACATGACATTCAATAATTATTTATTCTTAAGTCACATTTAATACAGATAATTAATAGAAAGCTATTTTTTAAATCATGAATCATATTTTTTATATGTTTATATATGATAAAGAAATGCATTCAAATAATATTCTCCAATGCATAGTCACAAATAATGAAAAACGTACAAATCTTAGAAAGAACTAAATATTTAAAAAATTAAACTATATTTAAATAAAAGCCGATATTTTCTGAGATTATTTTCGCATATTGATCAGCTTTCATTGACATCTCTTGAAATGATTCGTCGTAATGTGTTTCCTCGACCATTAAATCCATAACCGTGGAACATGAAGTCACCACTTCGTACCAAATCCGTTTGTAGAATTGTAATTCTCTATCATGCTCAGTTATTCTATTAAATTTTTTACGAGCTTCCTCTAAGCATTCTACTCGCCGTTTATGTAGTTTTATTTGTTTATCTCTTTGTTCTTCAAAACTTGCTAAATATTTGTATATATCCGAGATTTTAAGTGTTATCTTCGCGTAATTTTCGATGTCAGTGTCTGCAATAAAATATTCCCTCGCTTTTTCAAGTAGTCTCAAAGTTTTTACAAAAACTGATTTGGCATCAGCAAGATTTAATATACATGTTTCTGTGATCTCAATAGTTAAATTTTCCAATTCTTTCTCTAGTAAATCAGAAAATATTAAATTTGTCTCTTCAGATTTTATTTCTAATTTTGACATACGATCTTCTATCTCGGAAAATTTGTTTTCTTTATTCTGTGAGAATTTTTCCATCCAGAAACGTAAAAGAGAAGCTCCATAGAAACCCCAAGATTTGGCACTATTGGCATAAGTATAATCATAACTTTCAGACAAATGGGAAAAATCTCTATTTTTTTTCTTTGTCATTTTCAATTTATCTGCATAAAATCTGCATATCACATAATCTCCAATAGCAATGTGACTTTTAGCTTCAGCGAAACGACCGTTTACTAGAAAGTATCTAGACAGATCATATAAAGTTAAAGCCATATCAAGACATTTTTCATCAAATTTTGTTTTGTTAGATACCATGTTTGTCAGTCG